AACTGTCAGACAAGTTTAATGATAATATTCAACTTGTTTAGTATAACACTGACACAACTCTGAATAGTTTTTGATGTATTACGAATTGTAATGTGGAATTATAACATTTCTCTCTTCTGGCCTGAATGTGAAACATCCGTGTGGACCACACGGTAAGTCTCTCCCTCGGGCCAATTTTAGCTCTGCAATGTTGTCAAATTGAGATGCTCATTTGATATCACTATGATGGCAAGGAATGCTTGCAATGCCACTCCTGTTATTTTTACAGAGTTCAACTGGATCACACATTGTGGGGAACAAAGCAGCACAGATATTTTGTCAGATTTTTAAATGGCGGTGAAGTAATATTAATCTACTCTCTGTATGCAGTTTAGCTAATTGCTTGACATTTCTTTTCAATAGTAAGTCCCCTGATTTTAAGAGGTCAAATATTTCAACTGTAGAGGTGTTTGTTATGATAATTATGTTGCTATCTAAGCCCACCATCTGCCAGTCCCTATACATTTCTGGAGAATTGACTGAACTTTCAAACACCAACATGGTTGGTTTAATTATTTTTGTCCTCTCCCTGCCATACACTGAATCAGGGCTAAAACACAAGGGACCATGAAAGCTGTGAGAGAACGGAAGACCTCTAATAGGAGTTGCAGAGGGAGGATCAACAAGGTTTAATATAGAGCCAGTAAGGTATTTTGGGACCTGCATTTCAAAGGTAAAAATACCTCCATAGACACTATTATAAACTAGGACACCATTGCTCTAAAAAAAAGATTTAAAGTGGACCTATTATGATATATTGGAAAAATATATTGTAGGGCCATACCTATACAAAACATGTCTGTGAAGTTTTTTGCTTAAAATACCAAACAGTTTACCCATTGTAGCCATGCCTCATACTGCTCATACCCCTCTTTTGCAGCCCTGTTNACCCTTCTTTCTTTTTTATGCTCATACTTTTACCTTTACAATATTTTTACTTTAAAGTGAACCTATCATGCTATATTGGAAAAATATATTGTAGGGCCACAAAACATGTCTGTGAAGTTTTTTGCTTAAAATCCCAAACAGTTTACCCATTGTAGCCATGCCTCATACTGCTCATACCCCTCTTTTGCAGCCCTGTTAGAGAAATGCGGATTTTGGGTCCTTAGCTTGAAAAAGAAAAGAGGAGGCGGAGCTAGTGAAGATGAGGAGCACGTTCCGCCACAGACTCATCCCTCCACAACAATGCACCAAGCGCCTCGGACAGTCCTTTGTGCCTGTAGCCATCAGGCTGCACAATAAGGGGTGAATAATGAAAAAGAAATAAAATTAAATCACTGGTCATAAATATACACTGTTTCCACAACCCATGTTAACTTTTCACTTGTCACTTTATAACTTAGATGATGACCAAATATGTATACTGTATATTCTGACAGTTATTTTACTCTTATTTTTTTATTCATCTCCTATTTTCATAGTCTTTTATTATTATTATCATTATTATTTTTTTCCTTGATTTTATTTTATTTATTATTTATTTTTAATTTTATTGATCTGTGTGAATCTTTGCTGTACTGTTTTTTTTTCACGCTTACCCTGTTGCTGCTTTGTACAACTGAATTTCCCCTCGGGGATTAATAAAGGTTCATCTTATTTTAATGCCTGATCAGAATTCCACCCGAGATAAAGTTAAATTCTGAGAATTTAACTTTATCTCGGGTGGAATTCTGATCAGGCATTAAAATAAGATGAACCTTTATTAATCCCCGAGGGGAAATTCAGTTGTACAAAGCAGCAANTTAACTTTATCTCCGGTAGAATTCTGATCAGGCATTAGCTCCGCCTCCTCATTTTTTTTTTTTAAGCTAAGGACCCAAACTCCGCATTTCTCTAACAGGGCTGCAAAAGAGGCGTATGAGCAGTATGAGGGATGGCTACAATGGGTGAACTGTTTGGTATTTTAAGCAAAAAACTTCACAGACATGTTTTGTATAGGTATGGCCCTACAATATATTTTTCAAATATAGCATGATAGGTCCACTTTAAGTTTTCAATGTCAGAAGCAAATGTATCAAACGCTAAAAGCCATATAGAATTAAACGTATCTGAAGATATCTAAAGACAGAATATCTCTGAGTATTTGAGTTAAAATGTGTGTTTCAGCACGAGTTGATCATCTAGTGTAGTGCCATGAAGGTGAACATAGGTCAGATGCAAGGAGAAACCTCCATAGCCCCAAGGTCTAGATTTGATGACAGCATCTCTACCCAGTTTTCCTATAAAGGATTGATTTGATGATAATATAATGTTTTTTAATTAACAGTGGCAATGATATAGAACTAGGAGTGCACTCAAACAACGGAAATGTTGCATTGCAGTGTTGATAAAGGACTTTTTGAGTATCCGCCGTATATTTTTGGGACCACTTTAAAATTGAATAGTTTTTTTTTTTGGTAATCCTGTCGAGAAAACAAATAAAAACCGGCCGAGATGAGTTTACTACATCATTTATGTGAACCTTGTTTCATTTAAAAATCTCTCAACTTTTAAAAGTCTTATCTACAAGCGGACTTTGCAAAAAGGGACTCATCTTAGTATCAGGGCCGTCTCTTATCCAGCGGATAACGTGTACAATAAAACTGTCAGCAACACTATGTCACGGTCCAACAGTCCCACACACTCCCCGTCTCTGCTGCCAAAAAAAGCCATTTAATTGTGACAGTTTCAGTGATGGAAGACTTAGCGAGATGTAAATATCAACAGTGATTATTAATTAGATAAAATAAAGAATGTTTATAATGGTGTCTAACATCGCAACGCTGTACAAGGCCAGGCAAGTGTATTTATATAGCACCTTTAAACACAAGGCAATTCAAAGTGCTTCACAAAAATGAAAGACATTAAGGAAATGGCATTTAAAAAGTCAAAGAAAGTACTTCATTGGTGACATCCGGCTCACGTGACACGTCCCAACCTATCGTCTCCGGCTCACGTGACACGTCCCAACCTATCGTCTCTGGATACAGTTGCAGCTGTGTGTCTGTGTATTCAGCAGGATGTCTGCTGGAGGCTTAGAGTAAAGTTGTGATATATATATATATATATATATATAGATATAAAATCAGGGGTGCACACAACTCAGTGAGGTACTCAGATGAGTACCTGGAGTCAGTGTTTGGTACTCCAACTTCTGGCTCCCCATGAAGCCCTCTGTATCGCGAATGTCAACGGGGGGGGGCTAGTGGAGTGCACGCGTCTCCAACAAGCCNCAACAATGCACCAAGCGCCTCGGACAGTCCTTTGTGCCTGTAGCCATCAGGCTGCACAATAAGGGGTGAATAATGAAAAAGAAATAAAATTAAATCACTGGTCAATAATATACACTGTTTCCACAACCCATGTTAACTTTTCACTTGTCACTTTATAACTTAGATGATGACCAAATATGTATACTGTATATTCTGACAGTTATTTTACTCTTATTTTTTTATTCATCTCCTATTTTCATAGTCTTTTATTATTATTATCATTATTATTTTTTTCCTTGTATTTTATTTTATTTATTATTTATTTTTAATTTTATTGATCTGTGTGAATCTTTGCTGTACTGTTTTTTTTTCACGCTTACCCTGTTGCTGCTTTGTACAACTGAATTTCCCCTCGGGGATTAATAAAGGTTCATCTTATTTTAATGCCTGATCAGAATTCCACCCGAGATAAAGTTAAATTCTGCTGTGATAAAACGCCATCCTGTTCTAAACCACATTATTTATGTATAAAAGACATCACAAAGTGCATTTTGCATGATAGGTCCCCTTTAAGAAAAGACATGGAGTTAAAAATGTTGCATCCGGCTTAAATTGATGGTCATAGGATCAGTAAAATATACAAAAAAACCTCTGAATACTTAAATCCATCAATGCCATTAGGAATAGACCTCTCAAAAAGTAATTATTTTATTATCGGCAGATTTTCTTTTTTTTAATTAATCAATTAATTGTTTGGTCTTTAAATGTCATAAAATATTAAAAAATATCCATCCAAGTTTCTCAGTTTTTCTTAAAATCCAGTTTCTGATGTCTTTTTTCAGTAAGAAAACAAAAGATATATTTAGTTGAATACATACAGGAAATATCTATTTAACGGACTGAAATTGGCATTTAAAAATGACTCCAATGATGAATCTATTATCCAAATGATTGGCCATTGGGAATTGTTTTGACTTATCAGTTCTACAATCCAAATCTATAAACGGATCAGTGAAGGCCCAGGGGTTTCCCTATTTGTTTTTTAGGAATCAAATGTGAAATATACAGATATCGTCAGTGTTGTGCTCTATCACAGTCAGAAGAACTGGGGAATAGAAATATGAACTGTGGAGGTCGGCCCCCACTGTATGTGAACAGCTCTCACCTTTCTAATCTTCAAGAAAAACACAGCCAACAGGCTCTTCATTTACATTCAAAACAGACTCCTTTGTTTGCAATTAACTTTTGACTTGTGAACGTTTGACACAGTGTGTCATTTGGCCTTGTTCAAAGCACTTAGCTTTGGCTCCCCTCCTCATTACGTGGGCTTGAAAACATTTGTTGACTCTCAGCATCCACAGCTTGTTGTCAGATTCATTTAGATCTATAAACCCCTCTGAGGGTTGTGTCTCCAATGGCCTAGCATGATGTCTGGCTGCGTTACCAGATGTTGAAAAGTCAAATTCGGGGCCTGCCGCTACCTCTCCTCTCTTTCTGCAACTTCTTGACCCGCTTTCATTAAATACTTTACTTCTCACAAACTATCCTGAGCCAGTGAATGTGTTCACAAAGGACTGAAGGCACTGTTGCATAAGTTTTGCATTGTGAACTTTTTCTGTAACAACAAAAGTGGTTGACAGTAAAAACATGCTATGCTTACAACTGCAACGAAGCGCAAGTGATGATGAGAAAAGCTGAATCGGTTTGAAACAAGACCTCATACAGATATAAGCATAAACAGAAACGTTGTGTTTTCATAGGGTGCTTTATAATTAGGATCTTCAGCTTTACAGTATGTATCTTGCTGTTCAGTTTTATTAAGGATCTATTACAATTTAGCAGCATTATTAAATGAACTTTAAATGTATTTTGTAAGGCCTTCTTATTTGAGGGCATAATGTTATCAGCAGCATAAACAGCTGCGGTGTCTGTGGAAGATGGTAATCACAGTGATGCTAATACAAAATGAGCTCTATACCACCATAATTAACTGACATCATGAATAAGTTCATCATCTTTAAATCGATGACATGTTTGTCACCATAATCCATTGCTTTAAAAGCTGTCTTGAACTTAGGACAGCATCAATACAGAATGTAAGGAGGTTATTTTTTGTACAGAAACAAAATAAAGAAGCTGCATCTGATCAAGCAGCCAAAGAACATTTCCACAGCTTTCTGGAGATTACTGTCGTCAAACAAGAGGCATGAGGGTTGAATACAAAAATTGAAACAACTGCGACCAAGAGAAAATGCAAGTCGGTAAACTTTTGGGTAAAGAGGACTGAGGGTATGCCTAACTGGGGGTTCAGATTGAAAACAACTGCCTGCATTTTGTTTAAGGTTGACATTATATAAGATCCAGGAGGGGCAGTTTCTTAATAATAAATCCATGAGTTTGAAGACTAACCAGAGACAAAATCAATACACAGCAGTTTGTGTGGAACTGGATTTCACAGCTTTTGGAAGTCATCAGGCCAAATTCGTTTTTTTTTTGTTCTCTGATGATCAGGTAAACAGTTGAATTTCCAGTAAAATCAAATGTGAACATGCACCTACAGTATATGATCTACATAGGCCCTTGTCTTGCAGTAATGTCTTTTGAGACAGAGAATTACTTTTTTGCCGGATTGACCTAATTAAATGGTATTAGGTATTTTACGCATTGATGTTGTCTGTCTGAAAACCGCCAAATCACAATTGATTGAAGCTGTTGGCATAGCACTGAAACAAAACCTGAAAACAAAGACAGAGAACCAGAGGTAGAAATAATAAAGTTCACATTAAGGCAAAACAGCCAGAATGTGTTAGACCAATTGCAGACCGTCAAACATGCAAACATTTAACCCTTTTAGAAAACAGTCCAAATGAAGCTTAATTTTTCCTGTCCTTTTTCTCCCCAAAACGTGCTAAATACAGCTCTGCAGCAACTATACGGCCACTTTAACTGATGGACTGAAGTTGTCTCTTGTTTTTCGTTCTTTCGGTTCAGTGTGATTGTCTGATCTTGTTCCTTTAGTTTACTTCTTCACCAGCGCCCTCTCCACTCATTAGCAGCAACTGTCTTTTGTATGTTAAATGATTTGTAGCAGAACCATTCCAATATAATTTAAATGATACAAAGACAGTGTTTTTACAATATCTTAAAACATTCCCCCATCTTTCGTTCTTTATCTTTTTCTCTTCAGGTGAAATAGTTGTTGTTATGATCATCAGTATAGCAGTATGTCAAGTTCTCACACATTTTACACATTGTAAAACAAGCAGACAGTATTGTTCATATCACTTCTTTAAACTAGGGTGCATTTACAACAGAATAATATGATGTTCAGCCATTTTGTATCAAAGATTCAAAGTTTCTTTTAAAAAAGCTCAACAAATTCTCAGAAACACTATTAAAGCAGCAGACAATCAGGAACTGGGCCTAATTTCCAGTTTAGCTTCAAGGTCTGTGAAGTCTCTGCTCCAGGGAGTGTCAGAAGATCAAAAGCAGGAGGCATTACAGTCAGGAAATCCCAATTATATATCCTATAATAAATTGCAGTCATTAGCGCGCAGGTTATTGAGTCAGTGGCGACTTGTGATTGGCCAAGCCTACTCGTTAGGTTATGTCCAGCCAATCGGGTCGCTTGTGGGGTTTGCAGGTGTGAACGTCCACCAAGTCCTCGCAGTCTTGGCACTCCACAGCGCAGCACCACTTGAACTTACACTCGCACTTGGTGACCCGTTTGACTCGCATGGTGTCGTAGCCCCGTCCACAGCACATGACCTCACAGCCGTCTGTGCCTCTCGAGGACTTGTTGCACACTCTGCCTGCTGTGCCCAACGACCCTGTAAGAAAATGCATATACTTTTTTTAATGCTTGCATAATCAAACCACAAATGTGGTTCACAACAATGTTGGTCAGTATAGATTATGCCTCTTATTAGCCCACCATACATTTTTATTTTATTTTAGATTTTTTCATATCAATTTAAAATTAGTACATTTAAAAAAAAACAAGACATGCTTAAAGGTAGGTTAGGTAAGAATGGAGAAACCAGCTCGAGTGTGCTAGGATTTGAAAGTACACAACCGGAAAAAATCTGCTCCTTCCTTCAGACTTCCTTACAGAGCCCCATGACCAATGAGGGCACGAGATAAGTTTGTGCAAGAGATGGAAGGCTGACAGGCAGGTAGGCCATCCAGTTATTTTAGCTGGGCCGGACAAATTTTTATTACGTATTTATTGTCAAAGCATAATGTATTCATTGCTATCGGGATGTTAAGAGCATTCCATGGAATATAACAAAAAGTGTTTCTGAAGTGAATTACCTACCCTACCTTTAATAACCGTGTGCTGCTAGGTTCAGTACTACAGTTTGATTATGTGAGCTTTTTGCTGAAAACTGATTCATTGCACTGCCATAATAAAGTTGGAAATAAGGTTTATGATATTTGTGGTTATCCTTTATACAATTTTATATCATTAGTATTGTAGTTAATATTCATGAGAGAACACTTTGATCAAACAGTGAAAAAATTTTCTTCTTGTATTTACTATTTACGTTTATCTGTGTTTTGTGTTGCACTGTTGGAGAAGCCTGTGACACAAGATTTGCATCGACATAACTACACTGTAGCTATGTTCGTTTGACATAAGGAACCTTGAAGATTTTAAATAACACTTTCAAGTGTTGCAGGTTTTGAGGTTAACATATCAGCCTGAATTCAGTCAGTTTAAAATCACATGCATTTCTATTTTATACAAATATATGCTCACCTTTCATTTTATGGACCAAACTATTAATTGATGTGTGTAAAATATTATGCAGATTCATCGATAAGGAAAATAATCTTTAGTCACAATTTGAGCCAATGATACAAATGTGTGCAGCTTTAAAGGCATTAGAAACCTCTTTTTGAAGTGTAAACGATACAGTATGTATCTTTTATATTGCACATAGAGTAACTCTAGTCACTCTTCTTCTCTTTCATGGGTTATTATCAGATCAACTTTGAGTTGCTAATGTTGGCAGGTGACCACCTCTCAACACTCTATTTTTCCAAAACAAAACATTATGATTCCCACACTGTTCTGCAGAGTATTGGCTTACAGGCAGACACGCTGACAGAATAGTCTCACAAACACAAAGGTGTCCATGCACTCAGGTGTAAAATGTAAGCCTAGGATCAGATGCCAAATCTAATAACAGAGTCTCCCTGAAGTAAAGGAAAAAAGATAAGAGGAGATATTCCCCTCAGGCTCTGGGGAGTGGAGCCTAATACTGACGAAAAGAAGGATTTGAAAAATAACCCTGCATGTACCCTAAGGCTATGAATTCCTACAATGGAGATAAGTAAGAAGGAGGGTCATAAGCTTCTTTTAAGATCACCTTTTAACAAGGAAAGAGGGCACTTCCTTTGAGTGAACACACCTACATTACTCCTTGGTTGTCAAGCTACAAACTAACTAACAGCAGGGAGGAGCGGGAGAATCTGGAAGTACCATATGCACAACGCTATCTTACCTAACCTATTAACAGTAAGCTAGTGAACTCCTTCACGCTCTGTTGAAGGGGAGTGGAGGAGAGACACAGAGCTTAACAAGGTAAAGCAAACTCTGAGAATTAAAAGAGATGTTAAAGGTCAAATCATTGAACGTTAAGCTGAGAAGGAATGCAAACCTTCAGTAGGTCTTAAAGCAGATTTTCAGGAAGAACCACCAGTTTGACTTGTCTCATTACAAAGCATTTAATTGTACAATGTTTTGCTGATGTAATACCTCAATAAAAAATAGGTGTATGTATTAATTAAGAAATAATCAACACACTAGGAATGTCACTATCACCAAGTTCTTTTGGCCCCAATCCCAAGTCCAAGTACTTTTTAATATTGTTTTTTTTTGGTAAAACAAGTTCAATTGCCTTTGTTTTAGCTGATACCGATTCATTTAAATATGCCAGGATCCCCCTTAGGTATGATCCTTAGGTGGAATTTGGTGATATTGGCTTATTGCACATTCATAATGGCATGTATATATTTGCGGAAAAAGGGAAAAATCAATAATTTTAGAAATGGTGAAATAACAGTTTTTCCTCCAGAGAGCACTGACAAGTTTTTTTTTTTTTTACTTAAGCATGGCTACAAATGAAGGAATGCAGGGGAAGATATGTCTGACTCTTTAAAAGTAATGTTGATTTAAAAAGTGAAACTGAGCTATAAATGTGTCTATATATACATTTACAGACTACATTGTATCATATTATTTTTGACCCTCTAGTCTATGTGCAAGTATCAAACATATTACACTTTGCAAAGAGCTCCTCATTAGTCCCCCTTTTTCACCTAAACAACCATAGTCTCAACCTACTTCTTCATTCACTCACCTGCAGGGCGGTCCGTGAGACAGTAATCTGGTGAGTTCTCGACGTAAACCAACTCATTCTTGGTGCTTCCCTTGAAGTCCTTGTCAGCCACCATGAAGCCCGTCCCGTCCTGGTTCATGGTCACCTCGATGGCTGTGTTGTACTTCTTACGCAGGTAGTCCCCAGTTCGCCTGAAGTCAGCCATGGCCAGCCAGCAGGTCCTCAGAGAACAGGAGCCACTGACCCCGTGACACTTGCACTCCAGCTTCATAAAGCGCTTCACTGCCTGGAGCAGAGGTCAGAGGTGACAGGGTGTTAATCCTAAAATGCTGCCGGTGGCCTGATGAAGGTGTGATCAGTCCTGCGTCACTGTGACTGGAGTTTACTTTAACTTAAGTTCCTTCAGAGATCTGATGAAATACCGGTCTTGCCTGGGTTTAACTAAAACTTCTGATAAAGCTATTCACACTTTATTCTGTTGGGATATTTGATCTCACTTTGTTGCCCGTGCCATTGCCTGTACAAAACCCCAGATCATTATTATACTCTTGTTATATTAAATGTCAGATCTTTAACTTTAAGATTACACTCAAAATCTTTGTAGGACTACGTCAATTAAAAGTTCCCTAATGGTGTTTAGTTGTTTATAGTGCGATATTCATGATTGTAATATTTGTTGTAAAAGGGAATTTACTAGAAATGTGTTTTAAGATTGGATCTTCTATATGCTCATTCAACGGAAATCTAAGCAGCAACTTTTTTAATTAACGTAACTGCCCATATTCAAGCAAAATTAAATTAAATGATATCCTTCCGCATCTGCAATACAGACAAAGCTTTCTTTCTTTTAAGGCTTATTGGACAAAAAAAAATAAAGAGACAATATGTACATCATGGTTCTAGAGAGAAAGATAAATCAATGAAGTGATAAATAAATGGCAGTAATAGTTATAGACACATGCATTTCCAAACATTTGGTCTACCTATGCTGTGAAAGATATTATCTCTTTGATTTACACACGGCATCTATTGCACGTCTGTCCGTCCTGGGAGAGGGATCCCTCCTCTGTTGCTCTCCCTGAGGTTTCTCCCATTTTTCCCTTTAAACTGTGGGTTTTCCTCTCGAAGTTTTTCCTTGTACGATGTGAGGGTCTAAGGACAGAGGGTGTCGTATTGTCATACTGATATTCTGTACAAACTGTGAAGTCCACTGAGACAAATGTAACATTTGTGATATTGGGCTATATAAATAAATATTGATTGATTGATGATTTGACTTTATGTAAAATCACCTGTTGGGAAATTCTATCTTTTCCCTATCCAGTTAAATAAATGTCTGACAAAACTCAAGAAAATATATAGCTTTCATATGTAACTCTTCTGGAAACTCTTGAATAAGCTAAGAAAATACTAGAATATTGAAGATATCAAAAATGGATTTTCATGCTGAAGTTTGATTTGCAAGACTGATTACAATGGTTTAACTAACTTAAGTATTAAAGGGATGTCTAATGGGATACTTGATACTGTAGATACCATTTAAACCACTTACATTACCCAAGCCTATTTGAGCGTTTTCTTGAAAATAATTGATGGTGTCCATCCAATATAAGGAGGTGAGATATGGTGAAATGTACTCTTGTCTCTCATAAGGCACGTTCACACACCGCAGTACTTTTCCCACTTTAGTTCCGATATAGTTCCGAAATGTCGCTGTCACCATAGATATATATAAACACTAGATGACTCAAGGGGGAGTTGCCAGTGTAGCTCACCGGCGGCCATCTTGCCACAGTCAACAACTACTGCTACAGCTTTTGTAAGGTGAGTGATCTGCACAAAAATAATATATATATAATATAACAAATCTTGACTGATTTACAAACGGTTTGGTTTATTATAAACGTTATTAGCATGGCTATGATGCAGGAGACAACAAGACATGTTGAAAAAAAAAAGGTTCATAATTATAAGTATGCAGTATCATAACTACATCTTTGATGTTTATAACAAACCAAACCGTTTGAAAATTGGTTGAAAATTGAGCAAGCTACGGTTATTTCAATAGTGCGCCATAGACATAATGTTATGAATGAGCGAACTGCCTGTGGCAAGATGGCCGCCATGTGCCAACGTCGGTCTCCATTGACCAGCAGCGTGGGTGAGTCATCTAGTGTTTATATATATCTATGGCTGTCACTACCCGATCTGTACTGTGCATGTGCGAGATGGTCCGCCATATTGGAAAACTACGGATGGCAACCCAAGTAGGACACTTGACACAGTGGCTTTTTGCAAAGCTCAAAAATAAAAATCAAGAGAGATGAGTTATTGTTACTACAACGTGACTTCACTATTATTTAACAACTCTTTTTATTGGGTTATTTTATTTGGGGTTAAGTACATTGTCAGAATAAGTGAGAAATGGATTTAACTTCTGTTAGACAGCTATATGCCATGCATTTTTGCATACATTCACAGTAAATATGTATTCAGTATGATAGCTGTCTAACATAAGTTACATTCATTTCTCACTTATTCTGACAATGCACTTAACCCCAAATAAAAGTGTCCTACTTGGGTTGCCCTCCGGAGTTGTCCAACATGGCTGACTATCTCGCACATGCGCAGTGCAGATCGGGCAGGGGGACAGATCGGGTAGTGACTGTCGTGTTCACACCAAAAAGAGCCGGAGCTAAAATGCGTTCATGAGAACTCTTTTACCCCCTTTTCCGTTCCTGCTAGAGAGCAGGTACTTTCGTGGGAGAAAAAGGTTCCTATGTCTGATTGGCTGGGCGGAATGCAAACCACGCCCCGTAAAACTCCCAAAAGGTTTTGTGAAGCCGCCATTTTATTATCCTCGCATTATTAGCATTAGCCGAGCGCAGAAAGGCAGAGAGACTAACTTATGGCAACACAAAAGAAAACATGGGAGCGGTGGAGATGAGGAAGTGTCGGAAGGCTTCAGTAGAAGCTGCTGGGAGTCCCAGCAGCTTCTACTGAAGCCAGTCCCCAACTCCGGGGACTTCGGGTGGCAGTATACACCGTGAAGTTGTTTGCGGCCTGCCAGTAAACCCAAAGCAGAAGAAGAAGAAGTGACGTCAGCGGCTTCATTTGCCTAATCCTCCCCCAGGGACTTATTCCGGTGTGCACGCAATCTGTACTTAGTTCATGAGAACTAAAGAGTTCTCATGAACTAAGTTCTGATGAACCTTTGTGGGAAAAGTACTGCAGTGTGAAAGTGTCTATTGTCACTTATAGTCAAACACATGTTTAAACTCTAGAAATACGTCTCTCAACTGCAAAACAGTGGTTAAGCTCAAGTATTAAAGCTGCTGCTCACCATACGACCACAGCGGTTGTTGTGCAGGTTCATCAGCGCACGAGCGTCTTTCACCATCCTCTCTCGAGCGTCTACGAAAGCCTTGGCAAATTTGATGCCGTAGTTGATGTTGTCGCTGCATCCACCCCAGTCGAAGTTGCCCCTGTCGTCGCTGGCTTGCCCCCTCTTCTGGCCGTCGCAGTTGCAGATCTTTAGCTCCCCCTGGCTGCAGGCCCTGGTAATGGCGTAGACCACTCCTGCCGAAGAGATTGCGTACACGAACGCTGCCTCACGGCTGCCTGGGTGAGCAAAAAAGAGAGATGGTGAAGTTAAAAGCTTTAGAAAATAGTTTAATATGTTTAATGGAAGATCGTTTGCAGATTTTTGTAATGCTATACTCTCTATTTGATGTGTGTTCAAAACTTCTCGGAAACGCCATGACTGGTTTCGTCTCTTTCTCTTTGGTAAGATTCAAGCAATTATTTTTGTGCCCAGGTTCAAGGTGTTACTGATGAGTAAAGTAGCCTTGGTCTAATATATTCCAGACAGCAGGAGCTCAGAAACCAGTCCATTTATGGTGAATGGACCAGTAGCATGTCAACTATAACATCACAGTCCAGTCGACTCTACTTTCACCTTTTATTTTGCACAGATGGCATCTTTCTCAGTCACTGGGCTGTGTTTTCATTTCAGACAAGAGGTGATTTTTGGGGGTTATTTGGTCTGGCTTTCCCACCCACCTCCTGCTCTCATTCCTACTCACGCAATGAAGCAGAACACAGGCGATATGTCAGGGAGTAAAGCTTTGTCTGGCTGCCAGAAACATCTACCCAAATATTTACATCTCCTATTACTGTTTATACATCCCCAGTGTGGATCTCTCGATCTGCTACTTGTTTTTCGGGAAAACGTTCACTTTCCCAATCTTCTCTCATTCCAGGGAAGGCAAAACACGCACAGCAATTTCTCATTCTGTTTGTATTCTAGGGAAAAGTTGAATTAATAAGATCCCTATTAATTCTCTGCTTATCTTGTAACAGCGGACATTTACGAGGATGATTAACTGGAGTGTCACTGACATAAACAAACACTGCCACGCACGGACAAAGAACCACACAGATAGAAATCCCATTCAAATGTTTGCAGACTCACTACGCAGCATCACCCTGCCAAAGACCGTGTGGTCTCGGTCTAGCGTGCTGCAGTTCCAGCGGTGGTTCCTGAACTGGTGCTGGCACTCTTTGATCCACTCTTTGGCTCCCTCTCCGATGGACTGCATCAGGTCTGGGTGCCGCTGGCAGAGCTGCCGCTGCTTGTTCACCAGGCCGGGAATGTTGTCGCAGATCACTCGAGCACCTAGCGCCCCAATGTACCTGCAGACACATAATAGTTCACAATGAGTTCAAGGGGTAGGGTTAGAGTCACACACAATGTTTGTTTTTCATATTAGCCTGTACTAAATGGTATAGTCTTATCTTCTGTCTCAAATTTGAGAAAAATATATTAAGACATAAAAATAATGTTTTCATTGTTTTCTCAGATGACGTATACCCCTCCTGCCGATAGAGTGGTGCAGGGATTACGTATTTACCCAGAAATAAACTGCGCATGGGTTCCATGGATGTATAATGAGAACTGGATACAGCGTGGGAGGCAGGGCCTCGTTCATTCCTATGAGAGTTGCTCATTGGTGTATGAAGACAAAATGGCCCAACTTTTGAGTGAGCGAAACGTCACGAAAGTATTCATATAATCATATAATCTGTTCTTATTGTGCATCCATGGGTAAAGGTAAAACTCATGTAGTACTGAACACGTCACATGAACGTGCCGGGCGGCGCGGTCCCGTGGGTTGGATCCGCGTTCATAATGCAGAGGAAAATAACTCTCAGAATAACGTTAGTAGCACATTTTACAACTTGAGGACCGAATGTTTTTAATTTAATGTTTTTAATTGTTTCGGGCCCAGCGACTGATACGGAAGTGTAGTACTGCCGTTTGGCCACAACGAATATTTTCCTCAGAGTCCGGCGCACTTCCTGGGGGCTTGATGGGTTCCCTCGACAAAAAAGCAATGGGATTTCTCCATAGGATTTTGGAAAATAGCTCGAAACAAGGTCTATGGAAAACAAACCTGTTTGATAAATGCACGTTTTGTTCAGCCGGATAATCTCCACATGTCTACCCTACTTTTATAATTTTCTAATCATAAATCTAATCGCCAACAGCAAAATGCAAACATTATGCTATAAACGAACTACAGCAGGGTAGCACGACTTCAACGTCACGCCAACTTAAGATCGATATTCAAAAATACAGATTCAAAATGGTACAAGTTGAAGTGTTTGTTTTAAAAGTTTGCAAGAGCGCAGGTACCTGCTTTAGAGCAGAACAGGGAAAACTTAGCGGGAGTGTTTACTGTTCGGCATAATGACGTACAACGTCCTCGACAACTTCTGTAGTCCTATTCAGCCACTTGTTAACAACCATCGTTTTTCAGACACATAAACTCTTAAAAAATCACCGGTGGGGTCACTGCTGATGTATTTAATATCGTAGAACAAAACGTGATCTGTCTCTTAAATTTGTGTCAACCACAGACCTTATTTCCAGCTATTTTCCGAAATCCTATGGAGGAATTCCATTGACTGAGACGAGGGAACCGATAGTGGTAAAATGCTAACTCACTTCCGGGTTTTAGGACTCGTCACTGCACCACTCTATAGATTGTCTTAATAAGCTACATGTAGGCTACTGTATGTGTTGAAGTGGTACATTAACGTTAAGTAAATCCAATATCCAAATAGATTTCCACATTTTAAATAGCTAAATGTCATTTATTTATATTATTTAATGTAAGTGTTACAGTCAGCGATTATGTTATTTTAGACAATTTGAATCTGCTAGATATTCCTGATATCTACAACTTCTTGGTTGGGACTAGTTGCACTAAGTGGCACTTGCTGACTTTTCTAACTTTGGTTTCTGTAGTTACCAAGGAAAATACAATGTGTTGGGGAGATCGGCAGTCACGGTAGGCGGATTTTGTTATTTTTGAACAGAGATTGTAAATTGTTCCCAATCTTTATGCTAAACTAGCTTAGCCTTCAGCTGTTTATAGGTTTATATTTAGTGTACAGAAAAGAGAGCCATATCAATCTTCAAATCAAACTCTTAGCAAGAAAGTGAATAACGGTATCTCTCAAAATGTCCAACTCTTTCAAACGAGATTAGCATTAGCATTGAACTCCTACTAGCATGCCTATTTTTTTCACATCCATACCCCTCTCTCTACTTGAGACTCAGATATTCCAGACAGAAGAGATTATTAAATTCCTCCCGTTCAATGAAAACCTCTCTCCCTGTGACAGGCTTTAGCTTCCTGCTCTATTCAGACATAATCCCTTACTTTTGTAGCAACTCCTAAAAGGTTGGATCACATGCTGGTGATACTGTGACACTGGGGGGGGGGCTCTTATCAACAGGACATGAGGACAGTCATCTACAGTGCAAGTGACCGCTCAGGCCTTTCCCTCCCAACCACACAGATGAACCATATGCAGACGCCCCCACCCACCCCCCACCTCCCTCTCTAAGCCTGCACGCTCCACTCTCCATCCGGATATCATTATAGTCCTTAATCGCAGCCACATTTGTGTCGCCTGGCCACCGAGACAGAAACGGACGTAGCAGGCAGTTTCCACTCCTGTTATGGCTGTCCCAGGCCCGTTTCACTACGACTATCTGCCTGAGCAGTAAAGCAGAGCAGAAGCCCTACTTGTGTTTATTGTGTGTTGTACACATCGGCTCTGCCAAAAGACCCCTGACTGTCTCCAAGAGGACACACACATAGAAGGGGAGAGGGAAGGGGGTCCTGTACAGCAAGACACATGGTTCTCATCTAAATGATCTCAATGGTTAAAAATAGGACCCAACAATGAGAAACTGGATTAATCAGAGACAAAGCTTATTTTCTTTCAAAGCGTTTCCTCGTCTTTCTCTCTCTCTGGAATGTCTAAGTTATTTAATCATAGTTTTTTTCAAAATATATTTGCATAGGACAGAATTACACAATGGAAAATAGGATAACATATGCTTTCGGCTCTCTTGGGAAATTACCATTCATAACTCTATTTACAAAGGGTGCATGTTTAATCTAAATCCGTCTGTAAATCAGAAGCTAATTGGTATGTGGTGCAGGGCCATAATTCAAACATAAAGGAAGAACATGTACAAATGTGTACTGCTTCACTGTGGTTGGTTTGATATAAAGTACACATTAAATATCATTTGAAAAGTATGTCCTATTTCAGGTGGGGGGGGCTGGGCTACTTTTTTTTTTCCTCCTCTGAGACTTTAAAACCTCAAGAGCAATCATCAAGGGGCATTTATTCATGCACCAGCGCCTGCACCTGCCACTTGCTCTGGGCAAGATTGATGGATAGGGGAGATTCCCCCCAATACCATTAATCTTCGTAAACACACACACACTTTGCTGCACTGAAGATTTCACTTTGCAATGATATTTAAAAGAAATCATTAAATAACATCAGCAACCAAAAAAATCCCCTTGCAGATGAAAGCGTTACATTTCATCCTTTTATTGGACTACACAAGTGTTTTTTTGGAGGTTTGTTTGCAAGAAAAAAACAACTGAATCCTTTTTAACGAAAGAAATAAAAAAACTGTTTTAAAATAATCTAAAAAAGTTAGGTACACACCCCCTTTTTGTCTTTCAGTGTTTTTTTTCATTTAACTGACAAAAAAAAAGAATGGATAAACTTTCTCAGGTTATTAGTTTTACATACTTTTATCAGATAAGTGTATGTAATCTACCACATGGTTGTTATTAAACTCATCTCAGTATCAGCAATATAAAAGTCAGAAATCTCACTCACCACCACGATGAATCCACCCTCGGTGTGAATATGAGCAGCAGGAAAATAAATATGAAGTGTATTTTAGAAATAGGTTTGGAGTGATGATGGACTTTTGTCCCATGTCTGATCCTCATAGTCCTGCTGCTGTCTGATAAACTCCGAGATTTCGTCAAACAAAACATGTTTCTTCCTTTCATTTGTTGGCAAAAGCTGCACAACCAGGTTTGAAAGTCCTTGAAGATTGTTTGCCGTCCATCATCGGGAAAATAAAAAACCGTCACAAGGAGGGACAGTGTTTTATACTCCACCAATTACTATTTAATAATGCCAAATATATTTTCTGTCAGTACATCCATCATCTTCATTGGCGTCGGAAATTCTTATTAATAAACGAGCAGAATAATCCTTCGTTTCAGATGTCTCTAAAAGTCATACATTCATCTTTTTGCCTCAGTCGTTGGGTACCGAATTTAATGCCCCAAATCTTCAGATTACAAGTACAGAATCCGATGCTGTAACACAGAAGCAAAATCCGTAAAAGTCGCTTAAAATGAGATACAAGTCGATTGAAAGACCAATTTCTGAGGATGCCACAGACATTGTGCGCACCTTCCCTCCTGTAGTCTGGAATGAAGATGCGCACCGAAACGCGCAGCGCTCCGCTCCAGTGCGTAAGCTGTCTGCGACGCGCTACCCCCCCCCCCCCCCCCCTTTGTCTGAAAATTACAAGTAGCGGTATGTAGACCAACAGACAGCAGTATGGGAGATGTTTATATTTAGTTTGATGGAAAAATATCCCTGACTGTAATGTCGAGGGTTAAAAACCAAGGCATCCAACTTGTTGCCACTTTATAACAACCATTAAAGCACGATGGACCATGATATACAGTATGCCAGCACACACCTATTATTTCATTAAATTATGCAATATTTCCATAGGGACTTGTTTTCCATGGATAATACCTTGGCATTTTGTACAGTTCACTGGCTGTTTTCTACAAAGTCAAACTTTTTTGTTTTTCACTATCATAAAGAAAAGTGTTGTAACACCAAACATAATGCTGTGCAACTCAACCAAAAAGCATCCTATGACATGCCATGTTAAGTAAAATATTTATTTTCAGAGATTCTTATTATTGGTTTTGATTTACGTATTGGAACCAATTGATTGTGTTTTCAATGAATAATAATAATAAGGGAGGTCTTTCCTGATGTACGTTTGGGTCAGAGGAGAAGGTTTTGCTTGGGAACCCACAGCTATGAGGGGTCAAGCTTTCCTACTTTGACACATCATTAAACAGGAACTTGGTGTCTCCATAGAGATGGGTAATCCTTCCCAGGGGGCATTTTAGAGATTGTTTCATATGCCTGCTGGTTCAGTGTAATGCAATGCTCTTGCAGATTTGAATGCATGAAAGGATCTTTACTGTTGTTTGGAATCTCTTAACCAGAGATGTCTAAGATTTGAACTGGTTCAAGAAACACATTCAAGGCACTTCGACAATTTAATTGCAAATGTGGAGAGGTTTCGATCAGAGAATTCAATTTGTTTCATGAAATTTGACAGCATCCTTAGACCCTTTTGTATAGGACAGAAAAACTGCCAAGGAAACTGGAAACATATGGGAAAAAGTTACTGCTGACAATGGAGACATGCGTCAGTCGTGACATCTTTGTATTTTTGAAATACTTATTGCCATACAACAAAAAGGACATTTTAATTGTGCACAGACCCTATTGCATAATTGTTGAATGAGACTTACATTTTACATGTCTTCTAAACCACATTCCACCGATGCAATGAGCCCTTTGCAGGATGAAAAATGTGTATCTAGGAAAACTTCAAGCAACTTCCAGGAACCACAAAACCTCCTTTCTAAAACAAAGGACTGGAAAAAGCACAAACACACAAGAGGGAAACATCTCAAAGATCCCATTCACACAGAGGATTAAGATACAAGAGTTTAGGCTGAAGCAAAGTCCAGATCAAAGATGTCTGGACTGAGGCCCCAAGTCCTGAAAGCTGAGAGGTACATACAGAAGATGTCAAAAATGGAGACACCATAAGTACAGTATGTCATTTAAATATCCTCATGTTATTATTGAGGGTAGTCAAGGAATGAGAAAATATTTTGCCCTTGTAATGCATTTGTGTCCTATCCCATGCTTTGGTCACTTTATTGAGGAGACCACACCATAGAAGTGGCCCCCTACCTTTACATAGGGGTCTTTTGAAATGGCTTACAGTTCACAGCATGGGTTTTACTCTTTGGTTTTTCCAAGTTCGGTATGGGTCCCGATATAGTCCTTTTCTGAAAATGATTTATATGTTCTAAAATGATGCCTTCATTCCATACGACTGAGGGTAGGAGAGTAAATATCTCCCCACCCCCTCCCCTCCCCATCTCCAAGCACTTGAACCTCTCATGTAATGCCAGCGGAGTGCATGTTTGTAGTTCAGCTCACATCAACAGTCCCGATCCAGAAACAGGTTTGTCTCATCGAGCCAATGTGGAAACATATGACCCACCTCAAGGACACGTCTGGCTTTCATCCTTGCGACTTCAGTGAGACACTTGGTGCTTTGGCTTTCCAGCAGGTACTGGGAGACGCTGACAAGACACTATGTGCATACAGCGTGTGTGTGTGTGTGTGTGTGTGTGTGTGTGTGTGTGTGTGTGTGTGTGTGTGTGTGTGTGTGTGTGTGTGTGTGTGTGTGTGTGTGTGTAAGGTCATTTAATCAGCGACATTCCAGGGGTGTTAGTAGAGACCTAATGTAAAGGTCATTAACAATGTAGCTGGCTAAAAATACCGTGGCAGACAAAGAATGTAATAGTCATCTTTAGGATTGCCCAATCACACATTTTCTTACAAGGAATAGGTTTTTTATTTGAAAATAAATAATAACATGTACATCTGTGTAGTTTGCAATCAACATAAGCTTCATACCTGTGTCATTTCTGTTACTGGACCTTCTCCCCTTTTTTATTCCACACACACACACAGCCCAGCTGTTTGTCCTTCAGTTATGTCATATCTGGATTTGGAGCAACACTCAGATCCTCATTACATGTGACCCTGTCTTTCTTTACCGCAGGACAAGCTATGGATTTTACAGTGACAACTCTATAACAAATTGCTTTACAGGGAGCAGGTGATGGTAGCGATAACACTCGTCATCCGGCCCTCCCTCTCCTTCTGTCTCGCTTTGAGCCAGCTCCAGCTGTGGTCTTTAAGAGGCTCAGTGTGGGGGCCCGAGATCCTATTCTAGACCCGTCTCATGGCCTGGGCTAATTTTGGATGGAAAAGAGGGGACAAGAGGGAGAAAAAAGAGCGCAAGAGGATAAGAAAGAGATCGAACCATTACGAGGCACACACACAGAGGAGCGCTCAGATGACAGTGATTATGACATTGATGTGGGACCAGTGCAGAGACGGCAGCCGTCACTTATTCTGACAAGAAAATTAACGAGTTGACGTGCTGCAGTTTGCTTTTGTTCAACATGTCTGAAACGAGAAGGTCGTAAATTTGTGGTTAAACTCATGACAGGCTACGTGCTCCCTCCTTGACCTCGGTTTTGTCATCTCATTTCACAACATGACACTGCAGCTATGTCACCATGTGTCTTATTATGTGTCTGCTTTTGCGCACCACAGTCATAAAGTACAACACTTACCAGATCTGCCCAGGAGGGACATGTGGCGGCTGCAGCTATCATTCTCAAGTTCAAGTTTATTTATACGTATAGTGCTTTATCACAAGCATGTCTCACGCAACCTTACAGAGAAAATATCTAACAAATCCACATCAGAACAAATTGCAATAACATAAAAAAATCTGAATTGTCCTTTCCAGGAAAAGGGAAAAACAGATTGCCAACTTTCTGAGGTCGGCCACTTAAAAAGATTTGTAATCCACTGTTCTGAGATTTATTTTAGGGGAAAAGTTAATTATTACCTCTCGTCATGTGGAATCCTAACAGAAGGAGAGGCAAGTTTCAGTTTGGGTCAAAACCGTAGCTTGTTTGAAAAAGGCAACATTTTGTAGTCATGCAACCTTAATCCTCTAAAAGCAAGAGTTTGAATGAAGCCAGTGTTGGAATTAAAGCATCCACATTTTGAACGAGGCATAAACACTACTCAAACAAAGGAAAAAAAGGAAAGCAAAAACCAGAATGTGTACTGTACAAGCTCCCATTTACTATTAGGTTTTCTCAACACAACAATCATGCAAGCTTTTAAAAATCCAGACCATCATATTGTCTGCTCAGCGTTGTGGATTGTCTCCCAGTAGCAGAGTACAGTGAGCATCTATGCTGGCAGTGACAGCAGCGAGGATGCTCAGCGACCTGAGCTGTGTTTATGGTGGCCGAGAAGGATGGGGCTCAGCTGGAGAACCAGGCGTGCCTGTGCTGGATTTGGGATGCACTACACTGGAATGTTAATTAGGTGAGCCGAGCTGAGAGAAGAGGTGACCCGTCCCGCTAACCAGCCAACCCTTCCCCAACAACCAAGAGGGGATTTAATGTGTCGGATGTCCCAGTCACTGTGTGCCCTGCATGTATCTGGTATAGCATGATGTCAGGCCACCTTGACTGATTGAAGATCTGTGTGTGTGAGAGAGGGGGACAAAGTCACTATATCGGGGACATTATAGAAGACAGAAAATATGTTTGTTGAGTAAGACATGTATTTCTGTTTTTCTTTTATGCACTTTCCCAATTCCAAACTTAACACCACTGCCCAATTTCTCTCCTAACTTGCATCACTTTAACAACATACCACTAGAACACTGTTTATAGTTGAAGTAAACCAGGGCGCAACATAACAAACAGTTCAGTACACTTAAGGGTTTCACAACTTATCTTCACAACCAAGCACCAGCAAGATTGATATTTCTTTCTTTCAGCATCAAAATCTAGTCAGTCACACAAAAAAGAAATATAAAACATACCAAAATATAGTACACAGTGTATATGAGTTTGAATAAAGCCACCAATGCAGTACTAACTCTGTACCTACAGTACAGTATATGCACTCTTTGCAATCTTCTTAGCACCTCCACTGAAATCAGTTTTTCTTTCTATTGTAACTGTTACTATTTAACAAGATAATAATGTAAATTCTGCATCAAAATAACATATCTGTATTTTTCTGACACAAATCTGCCATAATATAGTATACTTTATAGGCATAGTTTAATAATGCTGCAATATGACTTTATATCAGTGCTCACAGATTCAGTGCATATTGATATTATATACTAAATATTAAATCACAGTGGGTAGAAAGGGTATTAGTACTGCCAAATATCAGCGGAGCCATTATTCATGCATTTCCTGCAAGCTGTGGGGGACTAATCAAATACTGACCTCTAGAGGACTCTCCCTGACTGTACAGTATACAACTGTTTTCTAAACACTACTGTATATCCTCAGAATACAGAACATGAGCAGAATTATATTCATGGAAAGTCAGAACATTTCAAATTGGTGTCCTTAATATGTAAATCATTATCTGAGGATGCTAGATACTAGTTTCTAGTTAATTAAATAAGTATAATTAATTAACTTTCTCATTGAATATACATATCAGATTTTATAAGGCAAGGTAAAATATGATACTACTTAAGGTTATCAATAACATTTATTTATGCTATTAATCTTATGTGAAGTATAAGTGTGAAATGCAATGGGGGGAGTTGATGCTTTTTTTTAGATACTATCATCAACAATATCTATGGTATATTTTATTTTTGGATATAGAAATTATAGTATTACACATTCTAAAGAATAAACTTTCATTAATGCATCTGGAAATTAATTTTTCGGATTAATTGCTAACAATTATGGAAGCAAGCTTTCCCTTATGGGATTAACACTTGTAAAATAAGCAACATATAACTCTTATGAGATCAAAGAAAAGAAGATATAAATAGGTGACGATATTTGGGATTAATTTATTCAATCTGTCACTTTCCAGCATTTAAAGTACTGTAAAGGATCTGATGAGAGTAGAGATAACCAACACAGCAGTTGTGATATGATAATAATCGGAGCCATTGACTGCTAAAACCTTTATCATGATTTCTTATAAATGACAAAAACACGACATATATCAGCAACACTTATCTCATTGTTCTCTGGTGTCTGTTTATAATCTGAGATAACTGAAACATAAAGTAATACATGAATTAAGCTCGGTATGACACTGAATAGATTATCTTTTGTGCTAACACATCATACAGTAATAACTAAGGAACATTTATAAAATACATTTTATAAAAACGGCAGCTAAGTACAAAAGAGTGCACACAGAAAATAGGCATATATTGTAATAAAATTGGTCCAAGGACTACTTCTTACATTTGGTCTGAAGATTAGAGTATTTGTTGTATGAACAAGCAACATACTATGGAAAGTAATGCCTCTTTAGATGGTACACTGATTAGCATTCTTTGGAAATATGACACATACTAATATAAAATACTTTCATAGTACGGTGGGCCCGACAAAGTATTGGCACAATTTAAACTAAAACTAGGAGTTGTAACTCTTCATTAGTACTACCCCTTAACCACTACCTAAAGTAGAGTGCATAAAGAATCTAATAAATACAAAGACAACAGTGTTTGAAGGGACCTCTGTTCAATAAGCATAGGATGTAAATCCTGTCATGTACAAAATAATATATCAACTTTCATAATGATGAGATGTGGATTAAACCATCATGTCACGAGCAAAGCAGCAGCGGACTAGTTTACTGACGAATCAAATGATCCGTTAGTTGGAAGACACCACCATGTCCAGTTCTTTGACTCCCTCCTGGCTGGAAGTGAGGCCGCAGCTGCCTGAGAGGGCGGAGTCAGGGAAGTGTCCGGCAGACCGGGGCACTGAGGCCGGGGAGGGGGGGGCCTGAGCCAGACTGGGCTTCTTGGGGGGGATGGGTGGAGGGTTGCCCCTGTCGGCCCTGGGGATGGTGGGTGATCTGATCCCCTGCTGCAGGGCCCCCGCGGCCCTCGCGACGACCGGAGACAGGGGCGCAGCCAGGCTCCGGTAGTCCGTCCCAAAGGGTGAGTTGTTGGGCGATGCGCCCTTAGGTGCGGCGTTCTGCTGTCCGGTGGTGAAGCGAGACAGGACCTGTGTGACGGTGCTCCGAGCCATCTGCTTCACCGGACTGGCTTCTAGGGGGGGACTGCTTGTAACTGGGGGAGCGTCCTTTGGCGAGGGGGGAAGGGCCGGTTGTGCGGCCTGGGTCTGAGGCTCTGGGTCTATGGTTCCTTGGAACTTATGTCGAGCAGCGTGGAAGCGCTGGTTGATCCCAGCCTGGTAGGGAGACTGGTAGCTGCCAGGGCTCGGGCTGCCTGGGGGGCGCTTGGCAAGGACGGGTGAGGAGCAGGGGGAGGAGGGAGGGAGATTGGAGGAGGAAGCCTGGCTCTGATGAACTGGAGAATCTTCATCTCCGTTGTGTAGACAGATGTCGTCTGAAAGGGCGCTGTCTGGGTCGGGGTGCCCGTCGGTCTGCTCAGTACAGTCGGGAACGTTTGGCTGCTCGTGTTGCTGTGTGTCTTCTTCAAGGTCCTCGAATGTAACCATGTCCACTGCTATCTGTCTAGCAGGGGTTCTTGAGGCCCACTCCTTCCTTTCTGCCTGTACTGGAGCTCCTACTTCCTCAGCAACACCTCTCTCCTCCAGCTTCCTCTTCAGCTCCTGTACCTGATCACAAAAATGGTGAAAGAGATTCATTTCAAATACAAATTTGGCTGAACAATGCAAGCAAACGTTCTTCTCGCACTAAGATTAGATTAAATAACATGAGGCGAATATAGTATGCAAAATGTGCCATCTACTGCCACCTGCATGATGAATGCTTTCAAGTGTTCACACCTGTTGTTGCAGCTGACAGCAGTGAGCTTCCTCCTTCTTCAGACGTGAGCGGAGCTGCTCTCGCTCTGTGTCGAACTCGGCCAGCTGCTCCTCCACCCTCGCCTCCATCCTCAGAGCTCGCCACCTCTCATCCTCCAGCTCGTTTCTCAGGGCCTGACAAGACTCCTTCTCCTGCCAAAGTAAAAAAAAGTATCTTACACCCGAGTGCAAAATATAACACAGCCCAACATTTGTATACGAAACGATACGATAATACTTGAATACTCTGAAATTGGACTTGCATCAAAGCAGCTCCATGTGTAACATCAACATAGACAAATATCAAGAAACAATACATGAAAAACAAACATTTAACATAACCGCACAATCACAGAGAGAAAACATGCTCAGAGACCCTTCAGCGTGCATTTGATCTGGGATTTAGCTCTGTATTTAATGTGAGGATTGACTGATTGCTTCAGTCTGACTTTATTGAATCGTGGGACCGTGTATCTCCGATTAAATGGTAGCAGTTTATATTCTCTGTTCAGAACATGGTTTGGGTCCGAGATGATGTTGTTGGAGATGCAGAGTCATAAAGTCTCTGACGGGGTTGACCAATAATCTTTGAGCAGATTTTTTCCAATTTTTTTTTTTTATATAAAAAAATATACTTGTATACAAAATGTTAATACCTTGTCGAGCTTGCGGTTCACCTCGCTCAGCCGGTGTCCCTCCTCCAGAGCCCGGGAACTTGCCCACTTGCACTCTTTGGCCAGAGCGCAGGAGAGCTGTTTGTGTTGAGCCCGTTCTGCTTCGATCTGCTCAGTCATCCGACGCTGCTCCTTCTCTAACCTCCGGACTTGGCTCCGCTCAAACTCCAGCTACAGAGAAAGAGGCGAGACCAACAATGAACAAAGCTGTCAGAGGAGGGAAACATTGTTTTGCTTTAGCCATCATCCATTTTATTGTCAGCCTCAAAGTCTATTAGTATATGTGCAACACAACAACTGTATGTATACATTTCAGAACATTTTACCAAAAAAAAGAGATACATTTGGAGAATAAAATGTCTCAATATAAGCAGGGAAGTGTTGACTTGTGCTTTACAAAACAACCCACCTGCACTACTCAACCCTTGATAGTTCTTATAAAGCTTTCCCACAGTACATTTTGGACAAATATTTACAGTGCAACCCATGTCACTTTTAATTAGAGGACACCTGTTGTTGTAGGCGCTCCCTCTCCTTCTCCAGGATGTAGGTGACATCATCTCCCTCGGCTGTGTCCTCAGCATGCCTCCTCTTCTCCTCCTCCAGGTCTGCAATGACCTGAAGCAAACACAGTGGGGAGACAGAGAGTCAGGAGGGAAACCATCCTGCATGGTCTGCTTAAAATTACGCCAATAATAGTTATTTTGAAGCAAAATGATTACTACATTTGTGAGTGAAAACGCTGATGGCAGTCAAGCTAAATAGTTGCATAGTTAAGCTTATTTAAATGTTCAGCCCGCCTGCAGAGAAAAGTGTAGTCATCACTCTGCGGTTTAACAAGGCCTAAGATGATTGAGTTGTTTTGTACAGTTCCAAAACATGCAATTGGAATCATTATTTGCAACAGTCATTTAAGTATATACCAAAACAAAAAACACAGAGATGGCATAATAGCCTTGTCTATATGATTGAACACTAAATAAAATCAGGATTTTCCAATCACTGTCTTAATATTAGACAGGCCTCCAGTGTTAGATTAAACAAAAGAAAACATGAAATCAGATGCAGATATTTCTCTTTTTTTTCTTTTGTTCATTCCAGAGTATACTTTCAGAAAAATAATCCGTATTGCAAATTACTGATTGCAATCTCCATTTAAAATATTTTCCACCACTGAAGGCTAGCAGCTTTTATCTTTCATGTTTCCTAATTATTTTAGTTTGTTTACATCTTCATGAGAAACCAGCTCATTCCTGCCTCCCGTAATTAGAACCACACCTCCACACCCACCCTTCTGTGCCTGCTCTCTGCTGCAGCCAGCTGGGCCAGCATCTTCTCCTGCATCCTCCTGCAGTGGCCCACCACCAGCTTGAGAACCACCAGAGGGTTGGAGGTAGCGGAGGGACAGCCTGGCTCTTTGAGTTGGTCCCCGGCAGCCTCACTGTCCCTCTGCAGGGCCTGGAAGGGGTCGCTCAGGTTGTACTTGCCATAGCGCTCCTGGATGAACAGCTCTTTACCCTGGCCCTGAAGGGAGGAGAGGAGGGGGAGAGTGACAGTGGTTTAGTTACAGTATGTTTGTGGTCTGAAGGTTACGTGGTAGGAAATATTCACGAGTGGAATTGCTTTGGTATAAATGGCCTTGTTTACAGAAAGAAGGCTACTTGGTTTTAGCATGTGCATTTTCTCTTGGATCACTTTTCTTGCTCCTCAGGCTTGTTTGAATCTCAGCTGTTACTGGATAAAGCATCTTGTGTTTATACATTTCAAGAGGCAGGGTTTTATGGATTGAAAAAAAGACAGTTAGTAGGTTGTTCAACGCTTTGATCCAGACATATCGTAACTATTGGATGCAATGCCATGCCATAATGAATCTACAATCTAGTGATCCCTGACCGTTGCTCTTTCCAAAGTTTTTATTAATTCAATTAAATATTTATTGGATGTCGACGGATTTCCATGAGCATTGCAACACATACATTAATGAACTTGTCAGAATACATTTCTGTTGATCTAACTTTTCATCTAGCACCATTGCAAGTTTGACTTTAGTCCAATACTTACCTAAATACCTGCAAAACAAATGACATTCCTACCCGCCTCAGTTAAACTGTGTGTTAAGTGCCAATTTAACCCTAGCTGCAATCATTCATAGCAGTCACTATATTTGACTCCAAAAGCTGACATCCACATTACTGAACTTTGGTGTTATTATGAAATGATTTGAAGGTTATAATCCCTGACAGTTGTAATTTAAGTTAACACACACTGCTGTCACTTCACTTATATTTAAAAGGAAATACTTTGTTCCACACACATTATCAGCTTCTCTAATACTTGAATGGAAATGATGTGTAGATGGGAAGGAAGGGGAAGAGAGGGAGAGGAAGTGTAGAAAAATGCCAGAGAAAGAGTGCAAGCAGAAGGAAGAAGCAACATATGGTGTCTGTCTATCTTTAGCAGGACAGCTGCTCTGTGCTGGACCTGGGCCAAAGCAGACCTGCTCTATGTTTAACTCGAGACAAAGGAGGAAAAATAGAAGCAAGACAGTTCAGGTTCAGCAGATGCCTTTGGGCCATACCAGGAAAAGAGGGTGAAGTACAGTAAGAGAGAGGGGGAGATAAAGGGAAAGAGGGGGAGAAAGCTCTAGGTTGTCTTCGTGAGGTTTCAACAAAAGAGGATCAAAAGATTAGAGAGAACAGTATCCTCTTCAGCAAGGTGAGGACATAGCTCCTGATGACTGATACCGAGATTACTTGAGAAGTTTAGTGTGTAGCCGAGAGCCTGGTTGTGCCTGAAGACAATATTCAGTCCTATTCACTTTTCTTACAGAGCATTGAGCTGCACATTGTTTGAAGATATTACAGCTGAGCACATAGGTATTTATGAGCCTTCCAAACGACACTATATTGGAGTAAAACAACAACTTTTATAACTAGGGATATCCATACCTTTTCAACAACAATGTTGATTGCTTATGGTCTGATAGCAGCAATTAATTTTTCCCATAAACATTTTTTGTAGCTTCATGTGTCACTGCCACTGTGACTCGATGCATGTGATACAGCGAACACTGGACTCCAGAAAGACATTGACCAAGAAACTGGATGTAATGTGGATTGGACACTTAATGGCTGATATATCAACTATTTCATCAGATTGCATATATAATTGATTGATTCTTAAGTCCAGACATTGTCATATGACTGATATGTTTACGTACAAAGAGAGTTCAGCACCTGGAGTTAGTTAACAAAGTGTTAAAAATACAGGGAGTGCCATTTGATGGCTGCAGACAGAAAAGTTCAAGCAATATTCCCCAACAGATCTGAGGCTTTGAGATTGTCATCTTCAACAATATTAGCTCATCTGACATAAGAGAGGAGGGCAAGGCTGCCGGGCTTTGCTGCTGTTATTTGATCCAGTCCACTGAGGACTGTGTGAAGGTGGATCAAACAAGGAAAACACAGGATGCCCAGGAGGATTAAAAAATGCATGTTTAAAGCTATCTGAAGCCCTTAATCTAATGCAATGTAGATTAAGTTATGAAAGTGGCATATAGCCCCTGTCCTCATTACGTTCATACAATACAGGTTTCACATCCAACTGACTTAGAAAACATGACATTTGCCTGCCAAACGTCTCTTTTGAAGGCATACTTGTGATTTATATAAACAGTACAATTTCTTTGATGGGTATTTTTTTTCTCTTCCTCAAAAAGGTTTCTAGCTTTGAAGAGAAATCTTCAAAGAGGAATCTGACGACAGATTTGGCCGACGGCCCGACCCTATTCCCGTCAATGAATGTCTGCTCTGATGTGTCATTTTACGGTCAAAGATTGGAGCTGCTTGGATCAGGTTTACATTCTAGACACCTACTTTGCCTCAGGATAAACACTTGGTCTGACTTTCATTGCTGCAGTTGTAAGCAATACTAAGAGTGAGAAAAACGCTTTGCAATCCACTTCAGAAACAAGAGGAAAACTTTGTGAAACGCACACAAACACGTCTAACGTAGATTTTTTTTCAAATCAGTTCATTGGTTTTTCTTGTTTTCTGTTCAGTCTGCACACATAACGTAAACTGGATAGTTTACCTTTAAGTACTATTCTCTTCTTATTCAAAAGTCCTCTTTACACAAAGGTTCACCCATGAACACAGACTCAGTGTCCCTCTGCTCACTGCCCAGCCCATCAATGCACAGACTTCCACAAAGGGAGGCTTATTTCCTCTGATTCAATCCTCCACTGCTTCAGAGGCTGGAAGAAGGGAAAAGAGGGATAACAGGAAAGACATTCCGAACATTATTTAATACTTAACACCTAACTCTTCCATTGCTCAGTGCTCAATGCCCATAAACATTCACTGCATGGCTGCTACATACAATCTACCTCCATTATTCATGCTTTTTCCTGTTGGCTGCAGTTCTTGGCAACTAGTGTGCTTTGGCTTGGGATGTGCCATGGCTGCACTGGTTCCAATCCAGCTTATCTTTTGCTGACACATGCCTGGATTTGTTTTAAGTTGAACGAGGTTGGTGACAAGATTTGTATAATACTAAGAGACGGTGATATATGAAATTTTCACCCACGACGAGTCCTATATATTTCAGAGCTGCTAAGGCAGATTTCTAAATACCCTGAAATGCTCAGGCGTGTAAATGGAAATGGATGTCTGGAGAATACTATTCATAAGCACATGATTTTGGATGATACAGTAACTTACACTAATCCAATCAGCTGATGCATATAGAAGCTACAAAAAGGCTATTCTTCCTTATTTGTGCCCCATTACCACATAACACGCATGGTTAACTGTTTAAAGTACGTCCATTTGGAAGCTCTTGTCAACCACACCATGTGAACTTGACGGTTAATTAAAAGGCTAATTTTCATATTTAAGTTCCCTTTGAACTTAAGTAAGTAAAGACTCATATTCCTGTCCCTAAGCAAAGGGAACACTAGATCACTGCAGAGCTTTGTATGCCAAATGTGAGCATTGCCAGAGACTTAACTTCCTTTTGAAAGCCGCAGCTTGAGCAGCTGCTGAAGTGAGTCACAAATGGAAAAATGTAGTGGATAGCTAGAATACCATTGATAGTTATGCATCATTTGATATAGAGGACCTCAGAAAAACAACATCATTAACCACACATCCTGTACTTATACTACATTCTGTAGAAAACACTGATAAGAATAGTAGATTTTTAAAACACAGAGAATGGAAATGACACAAACTGTCCAGTTCCCTTTCTTTTAACTATAAAGCAATGGCATAAAAAAGCAAAGAGTTAAGTGGGTTGTTATGACTGTGGTGATTTGTCATTGAGCCAAACATTTCTCACATGACATTTGGTGTGGCAGTGACAAGTCAGTCATGAGCAACATGACTACATGTACTTCTCTTATTACTGTAGGCCCATGTGCAATCTTATTTTTGGAACAAGACTCGGACTCTAGTGGTGCACCTGCATGTAGATAGGGCATTTCCTCCTGCAAAATGCTAAACATAAGCATGCTAACATGCAGGAAATGCTATCCATGCTGATGGTAATGTCATTCTTCTTTTCAGATATTTGGTAATGAACCATTGGATACATTAAAAAGTTTACCTGAAGGCGACTATCCAAAAATGTAAAAGATCACTAAATGTCTTTATCCAAAGGACAACAGTAATGTTTCTGACAATCCATTCATTCAAGTGTTACCTGATGATGGTATTATGACTAAAGTCATTTGGGTTCTTCCTCTGGGGACTATGACTTTTTGTACAAACTATTGTGCCAATCTAGACAGTGGTTGGTGAGATATTCCACAGGATAGGTATTAGTTTGACCTGCTGTTAGTGCTATATGCAAAATCAAGGGATAACCACAGGATAAAGCATCCTCTGGGGACCATGAATGGCTGTACAAAAGTGCATGGCAATCTATATGATAGTTGTTAAGACATTTCAGTCTGGAGAATGGTGGGAATACAGACAAACACTGCCATCCATAAAACCAATGCCTGTAGTGTGGCTAAAAACTAAAGAATTATCGGGTGATGTTTTACTGATACCAATCTGTTTTCATGTGAGGGCAAGACCCAGGATTCCCCATCTCCAATCTCTTAACAATAGAACACCAGAACGGTATGTACTTCAGCTTTTCATATGGAAAACGCTGTGCTGCAGAAAATACATCAGTTTACCTCAAGAGATCCTTTTTCACTTACACCCTGCATTTCCTCAAATTCAGAGATTACACCCTTAATCAAAGATCTGTGACGGTTAACACTGCATCAGTGATCCAATCCCAGACCTGAATGGGTTAACAGTTTGTGCCCGTGGAGCCATGAAAGCCATATTCCCCCCAAGCTCCAGTTAAGGTCAATGTTTATTTGTTCACTCCTACTCTCTCGCACATTGAGTCATCAGGCACCCAGTGGGCTGCATCTCTTCTTGCCTTAGATGGCCAGTTCCCAGGAGAAATGGAGGAATGCGGTCTAGACACAACACATGAACATTTAGCAGAGCGCTCTTTGGACTGCTGCTCTCTCCACTTTGCTGGCTTTTAATTTTTTGCTTTTAATGGTGTGTTTTACTCCAGGAAAATGCATGGAATTCCAAGAGTGCAACTGGCGTATAGCTCAAATATTAATAGTTAATAGTCTGGAGTGTCATATAAATGTCTCAGAAAATAGGGCCTTAGCAGCAGCATGACAATGAAGCAAGTTTACAACTGTTTGTATTGACAAAACATCCTAACGCCATGCAAATAGTCACTGAAAGCCTGAGTATGTGGGCCTGCAGAGCACAGCACTTCAAAGGACACAGAAGCAGAAAATAGCTTTAATAGAGAATGAGAAAATGCAGCATTAATCCTGCAAAAGTAAAACAACCTGAGCTCTGTGTGTATGTGTATGTGTGTGTGTGTGTGTGTGTGTGTGTGTGTGTGTGTGTGTGTGTGTGTGTGTGTGTGTGTGTGTGTGTGTGTGTGTGTGTGTGTGTGTGTGTGTTCAATCTCCCTGGGGTGCGTCAATTCATTTAAACGTTAGACATTGCCCCAAAAGACTCAATTCTCCAGAGGCATAGACTCTAGTTTGCTGCAAGCAAATTGGGCATACTGTAGGAATATTAGCGTCACAGACACATGGCTTTGTCGTTTCCATACACTTAGCTTTTTCGCAGGAAATGACTGCCATTAACAGCATTACTTGGGTAAAATCTTAATTGTTTTAGCTGGGTTTTTCCCTCCTCGTTGTGTTGCCAAATCTCTATTTACTTTAGGTCCCGTAACACCAAAACCACATGCATGACTGATGTGATTTACTGTTTTTCATCATTCTAAATGGACCTAACATATATATTATCAGGTATCAATAACCTTTCCCATGTAGGTTTGTGCAAGACCTCCGTCTGTAGGCTTAAAAAGTGGCTGTGAGGCAGCAGCATAATCTGTTACACTGCTGTCCACCATTTTTGTAAATCACATACACCATGATGACCTTTGCAAATTGTTTCCTTGCTAATTTAAAAAAGCACATGCAGCATTGTGGCAACATTCTACTGCAATGGTTTGAGAAGTTTCTCTGACACTTTCATGGTTTTTTCCTGCTGTGAAAAAAGGCACTTTTCAATTCTATATGGGTGTACTTTGAGAAGAAAGATTTCGTGCAGAGAATCACTGATATGTTATGTTACATTGTTACCAGCTCTATGAAAGGTACCTTGAGGGCATCAATGACCAGGTCGCGGGCCTCCAGCTCTCCCTCCAGGATGCTGAAAAGCATCAGCAACTCTGGCTTGGTCAAGCTCTCCATGTTCAGCTTGGACTGTGAGGGCAAAAGATACAACATAACTGATTTACTAATGGATTTTTGATTTAGATTTCCTTATAAACTATATATAAAAGAAACACACTCTGAAAGGAAACACTGAGAAACCAAATGCTTTACTAGGAAAACAAACAGTTTTACCACCAAAGATTCTCAGTTATTACATCTTGAAACAAAGCCATGCATTTTCCAATTTTGCTAAATCAGACATCCAGACAGACATCTAATCTATATGATCTGGCCCCCTGATTTATGAGCTTAATGTGGATATTATCTTTTAGGAGGGGGTCATTTTGCAGGACACAACCATTGTAATACATATGTTGTAAAACATTTTCTCAGGAATGAAAAGAAACCAGCTGATTTAGGGTGTAGGGCAAGAGGTGCGCTCTACATAACAGACCTTTTTAATGAGTTAAAGGTAGAGGAACTTGACTTTTAAGTTCATTGTTGAAACTAATATCACTTTGTTTTGTTTTTCTCACTGCACGTTCATTCATAATGGCTCTCGTGACAGTTGGTTGTTTTGTGTTGGAAACATGATGTGGTCTCTTTGTAGTGTCTCTGCGCTGTAATCTCACAGCTGTGTTGCTACTGCTGACAAGCCCTGCGGTGTCCTCACCCCAAACATGCAACCGCACTCTGGCCAGAAGAACGTATGCGGGCCCCTCTTTGAAATGAGATCAAAGCTGGTGTTATTACACTAAGCATCCTTTTCAGATCATTATGCCTGATGTGTAGATTGATATTCGCTGCACTGGCTGACTACTTACTAAAAGAAGTATGCTCTCAGCCTAATTTGAAAAAAGGCAAAAAAGATCTCTTTGCTTTTACTAGACATTGATCCACACCTAGTATTCATTCAACAGTGTGTCCGAGCTTCTCTCAGAGCACTCTGTGGTCACCACAACTTTCCGCATCATGAACTCACCCAGAGCGGGTGGTCTCATCTCTTTGGGCACTGGTTGCATAATGACAGACAGTACCCCTTTGCCTTTCAAACATCAGCTAGTAGCTACAATATTTCCCTACATCTTTAATAAAATAGACAAACCTGGAGATCATATTTCTTAAACATACTGTGCCACTTATTTAGAGGAGCATGCAGAAAGAGGGTGATTGAGCGGTGACCCTGGTGAACTGCACCTACAGCCTAATCCCTACAGCAGCGTCATCTCACAAAGAAGGCATACAGTGTTTCAGCTCTGCCTTCACCAGCACTCACGCTCTCTGGTTTAACCACAGGGGTAAAATGCTAATTAAACTACAGCATACACACCTCCCTTGGTTTTGCTTTTACTGGCTTGCTCGCTAATTTCACAGTCTGCTGTAATCACTGTGCGAAAGTGTGTGTGCTGTGTTATGAGAAATGTCTGGCCCAGTTGGAGCCTTCATGTGTCTTCACGCTTGTTTAGATCCTTATCATTATTTAATATTATTTCACCTAATCCCCCAGGGTTAGAGTTAGTAATCATGAGGGTACACAAACACTAAGCGATGATGGGAAATACACATTTTCCCACACAGTGGCTCTAGTTCCGATGACGAAAGCCTTGTGTCCATAATCCTTTTTATCCGTGTTTGTTTTAAGCCTGGTCAGCCATGTGCCTCGTCTGCAACACTGTAAACTCATTAAAAACACATAGAGGCTCCTGTTGCAAAAACATGAGCTTTGCCCTGGTACAAAGAGGTTTGTAAGTAGCTGCTTGAGAGTCTTCTGTGAACAGTATAAGTGGAAAATGAACCTCCTTCACTCAAATCATATCAAAGTCCCAATCTAAAGTTAGCAATTAGGCACAATATGTCATATAGCATTGAAACAGAATGATCTTGAATACAAACATACAGTGCCACACATTCCCTTGTCTTTAAATCTGTGGGAGACTTTTCCAGTCATCTTTCAGGGGG